TTTGCGAGATGGCTTGGATGCTCTGCCAGCCTATCCGCGTAACTGGAGCTATAAAGAGTTGATGTGTATTAAAAAATTTTTTGCTGCATACTTTTAGGCAATATATTTGAATATCTTCTTCTTGAGAGTCTCTCCAGATCAATTTAATATATATATTATTATATATTATATAGTATATTTTAAATTTTGTATAAGTAGCCTCATTTCCCATGGTTAAATTGAGGAGGTCAGCATATCAACTAGTCGGTCACTCCCGACTAGAGCACTCCTGCGTGTGCTTGCCTGTTGTTGTTTGCCATCATTTGCACGACTAGTTTTACTCATGTTTTCTATACATATTACAACTAAACTCATTCAATTTTTATTTCAATGTACAAAATTAAAAAATAAAATTGATGTTGCGAAAATTTAGCCTTTCAATTGTTCAACAAACGAAAAAGAACAAGAAGGCAACAAAAGCAATGAAAAGGAAAAACTTTCAATCGGAATTGTATCATTCCATTCCATGCTTCTGTAGCTTGTTTGCTCTCACTCTCTCACACTCTCCCTCTCTCACTCACTCTCTCTCTCTCCATCTGTGTGCGGCCTTTCTATTAAAAATAAACAAATCCCTAAATACGCCACTCAAAATTCAATTAAAACTCTCGACGCACAAGCGCCGACAGATTTACAAAGCTGCCCCTTCACACACACACACACAAATCCATGGGGTCTGCGTGCGTGTGTGTGGAATACCAACAATTGAGTGCTTTCAACTGTATTTTGAAATATTTATATGCTTGTCAGTGAGGTAAATCGATGCTTATAAATGGTTAAATGGTTAGCCCTGCAAATTATGCAACACAACGGGGTTTTGGCTCTTGCATTTAACATAAACTTCATGTTATCGGTTTGGCATATTCGACATATTCGATAATGTTGCCAATTGAGCCAAAGGCATTCAGAAAAAATAGAGGAAAAAACACCTTACTTACTTTTAACGTCAAGATCCGGGCAGCGGGCTGCACTGTTTATGAGTTAAGAGCGGAAAGAGCCAAAAGTTGAAATCGAGCTGCTGCACATGTCTGCAATGGCATACAAATGTCATTAGGGTAGCAGCCAAAAGGACAGCCAACAACAATTTTCGTTGCCTATTATAAGTCTAATCTAGAGACCCTCGCGTGAGTCACGAAAAATAATATAAAATCACAATAGCAATAAAAAATATATCTCCATCTCTTACTGTCTTCCTCTTATGCTTATACTTTGAAGAAATACCTATGAATGTGTACTAATTATTATCTGCCTTCACCTTGTTAACAGCTGCAGCGTCTCATATGATCAAGGCTTCCTTCTTTACACTCCAGCAAACTGCAACTCGATTCTGCACACTGCAAAAATATTAATAAGGGTCAGTATATTGTTTCTATATATATATTCTTTTGAATATTATTATGTTATTATATGAACATGAATAAAAATAAATCTTTAATACATACTATATTTCAGGCAATAAATATTTATAGAATATATATTTTAAAGCTCACGACAAAACACGCTCATCTCTATGGAGGTGAATGGGCGACAAGCTGCGACGTTGTTGAAGCCATTTTGAGCAGCTGTTTCGCCTGCTGCTCTTTTTTGCCAGTATGTTAAGTATGCACTTTTTTTCCTATGAGTATGCATATGTATGAGAATGAGTATGAGCGTGTGTTGTATGTGTATGTGTGTGTTAAATGTGTGCGATTTGTCGTGGTAGCTACATAATGGCCAGTGGAGGTCGGTAGAGCCGTTATGCTTATGGTTTTGCATGGCGGCACGTGTGAAGCATGCAGATGCTAAGCTGAAGAGCGGAGAACGCAGAGCGAAGACGGGCGTAGCGGAGACAGCGGTTGGTCAAATACAGTCCACCAACCCCAACGAATCACCCGGCAAAGCAAAACTGAAATTGAACAAATTCCTAACAAATTGGAATTTGGTTTAGTTTTTTTTATATGCTTTGCTTTGTTTTGTTGTTTTTTTGTCTCATTTCTTTTGCGCTGCCAGCGAAATTTGCTCACATTTTTCTTATTGTTGTTTTTGCAGTTGCTTTTTTTGACGTTCTATTGCTGCTGTTGTTTTTGCAACATTGCTACGCAAGATTTCGTCTCAAATATGCGCTAGGGCCATTATGATTATTTCTACATTGCGTTTTAGCTCCCGCCCAGCCCCTCCCACTGTATTGCTCTGCACTTTGAAAAATGACACTTTACAACTGTTGTAATTTGTTTTTGTTTTAGTTGTTTTTCTTTCCTTTTTTCTTGTGCTCGCTTTGGTCAACTATGTGGGTATGGTTGGTGCAAATTGTGGGTGTCAATGTGATTTGTAGCTGGGCCAATGATATGGGCGTGGCAGCCAATATGCTGACACGAAATTGTGTAGGGGAGAGCGGAAAGAAGTGTGTAAAGCATGTTCGAGTGGAGCACTTGAAAGGAAAAGGAATTTGAAATTGAATGTGAGTTACAATATATCGATATATCGATAGCTAACAGTTTGTAATTATCAAAGAGCTATGCTAGAAATTGAAATATATGGACACACTGACAAAATAAAGATCATTACATTCCAAATACGAATCTAGTATACATAATCATTTATAAATGAATAAATTTTGTAAAAAATAATTCAACTAATTACTCTAATTTAATATTAGATAGTAGACCAAACATGACCAGATAAGTCAGTTATACCTGTTTAATATATAAATCAAATGCAAAACCTCATCGAGCATAAGCTTCACACAATGCGTGATTATTGTGTCAGTATCTGAGAGCTGGGCAGCAGAGTTTCGAATCCTTTTGACCGCTTTACCAGCTAACCGCAATTTAATCATTTGGTCCAACTGACAAACAAGCGAATGTAACTGGCCAAAACGAACCGCAGAAACCAATGTTTATTATTTTAGCATACAAATTAAATGCAATATTTATAGATTTTAATTCGCTGAATAATTACCATATATTTATGCTCTATATATATATCTATATAAGCATGTCCGTATAGTACCCCCATTTTCAATTAGATACATAAATGTCTAAAATCACATTTCGAGCTAACTTTGCGGTTTGTTTGGCTAGAGTTAATGCGTGGGCTGGGGGCGTGGCAGTTGGCCAATGCCTCTAAATTATTGAAATGCAATGCAAATTAGTTTCCAGCTGAACAAATTGCTGCATTTTTCCCAGCCTGACTAAATGATTTCCATCTATATATAACTACATGTAAGAATTTGTATTTATTTCTGATCATTTGTTATTTATTAAATCGTTTGCATCATGCTGAATTGTGATTAATTTTTTTGCTTGATATATATTTAATAATAATTGCGTATATTATTCTTCTTCATTATTTTATGTAATGATGATGAATACAATAATTAGAAGAGACAGTTTATGGAAGAAAATAGTATAAGATATAGATAGAGATCAGGTAAAACAAAGGGCGAATAGGGAAGGCAGAATTATTGGCAGAGAGTGTGAGAGAAAGAACATGAGAGAGAGAGAAAGACAAAGAGTGATGGGAAAGAAAGAAAGAAAAATATAAATAGATAAAGAGAGAGAGAGAGAGAGACAGATTGACGAGAGAAAACGAGTGTCGAGAGAGTAACGAGAGGCGGAGAGAGAGTAAGATAGTGATGACAGACAGAGGTAGAGAGAGATAGTGAGGGAGGATGAGAGAGAGAGTGAGTGAAATAGCAAGAATGATAAACGGGTGATGTGAGCAAGAGTAAGCGGGATGAGAGAAAGGCAGAGAGGGAGAGGGAGAGCGTAAAGATGTGAGGGAAAGATATTTTTGACAAATATAGTTCATTTGTACAGTGGTTCATTTGTAATACATTGCGTATATTGATTCTATTGAACTGTTCGCTATTAAGTCTTAGCTAAATTCACAATCTAATATTTAGGCAAATATTTGATTAGTATTTTTACATTTCAATGATTTAAAGACTCGTTAGTCAATCAATCCTTACCTCCAGACTTTGTTATATTCATACATATATATATATATATATATATATATATATATACATATATATTCATACATTCAAAACTCATTTTAGTTTAACCTTGAACACATTGACATAGTCTTAACCCTAATAGACACTTTTAGTAAAGACAATTAATACTAGTTCATTTGAACAATTTAATTTTACCTCATCTTAGGTAATTTGAATTGAAAACTATTTCATTTCATCATATATTCAGTTTGCCTAATGTTTGTCATATAAAGCTTAAGCTCATTTCCACATTTAGGTAATTTGAAGATCGCTAACAGCGCTTAAGTCAGTGTCAAGCTTGAGCTAATATGACATTGTCGGTTCCGAAATGAGCTTCAACCCAAGCAAATCTTCATCTGGCAACATTTTACCAATTAAAACGACATCGTTAGTAAGTAAGCTGGCATTGAACTTTTAGTTGGAGTATATGGAGTGTAGTGCAAGTCATATAAACTTAATGAGGATAGGAAATGGTCAGTGAGAAGCAGAAGTAGAAGAAGAAGAAAACTTTGAAATGGTTGCGCCCAGCCGCAGCTGGCAAAGAGAGCAACACGTTGCGGCCGTTATTATGGGACACCATGGGGCATTATTAAGTCACGTAGCCATCGTGTGTAGCTGACATTTTCTTCAATTATTGTACTTATGGTTTCCATTCGCGTTTTACCCGAACGACTACATTTGTTGCATTTTCTTTTCTTGCTTTTCTTTTCTTCTTTTTTTGTCATATGAAGTTTGCCTGAGCGTTAAATGAGTTGTGGCCCAGAAGCGTGATGCCTACTTTAGTTAACTTAAAGAGCTCACATTTGATAGACTCAATCGTAAGATCTTTATATTTAGGCTTTTATTTTAGCTTTACTTAGGCTATATTTACTTATTGACACAAAGAAAATGTAAATGAAATTCAAATTTAACAGCTTTCATTGCTGCTTAACAGTTCTATGTTAATTAACACCGCGTTGTTGTCATCGATAACACTTATGTTATACACTTATTGCCCAGCTGCGAAGTATAAGAGTATTAGAGTATAAGACACTATAGCCGCCAAATTTGAAAATTAATAAGCTATTACTAAGCTTTAAGCATTGAATGAAAATAGATAACAGTTATTAAAAGATTATTTTTGTTTTTTTCTATTGCGAGCATTTCGAGGAGTTATATAAATGTTTTATGTATAACAGCCGAGCTATTTGTAAGCTGCATAAGCTTTTCGCAGCGCACGCCTTTTACGTTTGCCCACAGCCGGCACGAATCCGCCACCTAAGCCCGAAACTGTGCCCAGCTGCAGCAGCAGCGGATTACTGACCAAAGCAGCCGCAATGCCCAAGACCGCAGCGCTGGCTAAAGGTATGAGAAAACTTTTGGCTAGCAGCGCCTTCTGTGACAGCTCCGGCGGCCCTTTGTGACTGGCCAGTTCGTGTGACTCCAAGTAGGCATACTCACTGCCGCCGCCAGCACTAGGTCCGGGATAATGCACCTGATGATGACTGCCATGAACTGGCCGTGAGCCATAGACATCGAAGGGTATGCCCGATTCTGCACTGCTGCCGCCATAGTAGCCGCCGTGACCAGCAGCTACGCCGGCATATTCATAGGGATGTCCTTCGTAGGCGTAGCTGGCATGTCCGTGTGGCGTTTGTATATGCGCTGCCTGACCTGCGCCGCCACCATAATGACCTATTGAGTGGTTTGGAGTGAGTGGTGGCTTTACTGAGCTGTCAAGCTTTCCTACATACCCACGCTGATGCGATCATGCTGTCCCGCGCTCTGCCGCCACTTGTTGTAGGCCTCGCTCAGCGATTCACCCACGCTGCCCAGCTGGGCGCTGCCTAAGCCCGAGGTGCCCGAAACGGTGCTGGAACTGGAGCCGGAGCTGGTGACAGTAGTGCCCGGTCCTCTATAAAATTCCGGTGGTGGATCATAACTCTTGGCTATATTGGTGCCAGCGTAATCCAATCGATTGGCCACCTCACGTTTATTCGTAGTTCCACTTGGCTCCCAGACGACATGGCTAGAGTTTTGCGTAGAGCCCAGCTCCAGGCACCAACAGAGGCACAGACCGAGTAGTTTCCAATTGCTAACGTGCATTGCGACTAAGTCTGCTGCCAGCGCTGTCAATGGACTTTATAAAACATTTCCCAAAAGACAATTGCCAAATGCCTTATTTGTTGTATATTTCAGTTTTCCATTTGGCGACAAATTGCGCTTTGGCAATTTAAGACAAAAATTATGAGCGCGTCGCTTGGCAGGCTTTTGGCTTTAACTCTGTCGCGCAACCATTAGACAATTAGGGCCGTCAAGCGAGGCGAGGTTCTTTCGCCAACACAGCACATTTTGGAATTGTTCATGTTAGTGGGGTTTCACTTTTTTCACGGAGACACGTGCAGTGCGGCTGCTGCTACTCGTTAACTTGGCCAAGATGCGTGTAGTTGCCAATTTGCCAGCAACTGGTTAATAAAATAAAGCTTATCAAAATAAATAAAACGCACGCGCATTCTGTAGTAACTTAACATATTCAATTTATACATAGATTTAAGTTATGAAGCAACCCTCGCTGGCTGCTGTGCCTACTCTGCAACACTGTCAAACGTTTTTCGCCGATAGCTTTGACATTGCCAAACATTTTTCACGCTCAGAGCCCGAAAATAAGTGTCGATCATCGGCTTCGATCGTCGGGTTCTTGTAGCTGAACTAGCTTAGAATACTATATAAAAAATTCCTATCATATATTATAATATAATTATATTAATCTATATATAGCATATATTTAGACCCCTGGCTATCTCCTCATTTTCTGCTGCTTCTACTGAAGCTTTAGTTCCAGTTCGATCATAAGAACTAACACTAAACGGAAAAGCAGCACTCCAAAATGATCATGATAATGATGAATGATAATAATAATAATGATAAAAAAGAAAATAATGAAATTACTAATAACAAATGACTATGATAATACGGATCAAGGATACATGAATTTCCGTTTTGACCCGAAACTAATAATTACGATATAAATAATAATAAGTATCTTTCTAATAATGATAAAGAAAATCATAATGATTCTTTATAATGATGAATTTTAGTATGAATGCAATGATTATAAAAATGTTGACTAAAAATTGATAGTGAACAGAATGAAAATATTCTAGCTGATAATAATAAAAAATAATAATGATACGAATGAAAGTGCGCTAGATTAGACATAGAAATGGAAAAATAGTAACGCACTACACAAATTTTAAATCAAATGAAAATATTTTTCTATCGTTCAAAAATAAAAAGATGAGCATAAAGAAGAGAGTTACGAAAGATTCCCGTTACTTTCGGCCGGAATTAATTTATATTTGGCTGATCATTCATAAAAATAGTAGTGCTAAAAACAACTATTTTTATGAGCGGCTACACTTTGTAAATTTATCCTTATTAAGCCCTGACACACCTAAATTTGTAATCAAAAATATCAAAATTATAATTATTATAAATTATAAAAAATTAATATTTTAATTTTAATAGTCGTTTCAAATTGCACTCAAAATATTGAGTTTACACTAAATTTTGTTGCGCAACATTTAGCGCTTAGTCGCACTACTATTTTTATGAACACAGTTGTATATTTAACACACGTTTTAAGCACTCAAAGTATTTCATTCATATAGAAATGGCAAGATTTGCTAGTGTCTGATAATAAAGACAATTATTTTTGCAAGGTCTGATTTGGTTGTTCGCTGATAAAGAACATCGACTGATTGTGCGACTTTAATTAAAACTTGAGTTTCTTTTTTTTATATATTATTTAATTTGATTTGATCAACAAACGCGTAGAACACCTGTAGATGCATGCGTTTATTTCATCTATACAGTTAAAAGCAATAAGACGAAATGAAATTTTTTTGTTGCTTCATTCAGTGCGTAATGCATGTGGCAACCCTCGCTAAGGCTGTGCTCTGGCACATAGTTAAGAAATTAACGCCGTTTGTCTTCGCTGCATTCACTAAGTGCGTGGGCGGCATTGTGTTGTGGGCGTGCCCAAAATTGTTTCGCAAGTTTCTTGACATTGGCAAAAGACAAAATTATTTATTTTTTTATTTTTTTTTCTCATTTATTTTTGCTATTTTGTGAGTGCAAAAATTTTTATTAACCTTCACGTTTCGAATGGCGCAAAATGTCAGTCAGATGTCTGCTCTTCTCCATGACTTTTATCGGAAACGTGCGAAATTTCGTATCAGTTTATTAAGAATTCTGGTAGCATTTCGTCGAATCACATTATCTGAATGCGAATACATGGTGAGAGTATTGGGAAATGAAACAAGCTCAGTAGCTCTTATCACAGATGCTTGTTGGATTCATATGCCAGCTGACGCGTGCGCCCAAATAATGATATCACTGTACATATAGAATGTTCAGAGCGCTCTATCTATATAACACTTTCACAGAAATAGACACGATTTCAAGTGATCTATATCGAAACTAGTATCGGTTTTTAAATTGCTTAAACATAGAAATTGCTCAGACATTTTGTGTATATTCCAAAGAGAAAATGAAAGATATAGAAGAATCGAAAGAGATAAGAGATAGACGAAACGAGATAGATATGGAGAGGGACAGAAAGAGAGTGACAAAGAGAGAGGGAGAGAGAGAGAGAAGGAGAGAGAGAGAGAAGGAGAGAGAGAGAGAGAGAAGGAGAGAGAGAGAGAAGGAGAGAGAGAGAGTGAGAGAGAGGGAGACAAAGATATGGAAATAATATGGAGAGAAAGAGTGGGGGAGAGAGAGAATGAGAGAGAGAAAACAATAAAGAGAGAGAAAGAGAGAGAAAGAGAGAGAAATATTGAGAGGGAATACGAGAAAGAGCGAGGGAAAAATAGAAAGAGTGAGAGAGAATAATAGAGAGAAAACGAGAGTAAGAAAATGTATACGTATGTAAACTAAAGAGTATTTCTGAAAAAGGTAGTTATGTGAATAGAAAAGTTTTTCTTTTTAGTCAAAGTTATATTACATAAGGTTTCGTAGGCTTGCATTAATGAAAATCGAATAGAAGGGCGACATTGACATAAGAAATCGCTACTTAGAAATTAATCTAAGAATATAATATTGCTTATTATTATATGCTTATATATATATTCGATTTCTTGCTGTTATAATAAATAGCACAGGTTAAGATGATTCTCAACAAACTTTTCAATCGGTAAGTTCAAGCTCAAGTCAGACAAGCTTGGGTACATTTCCGTTTCAGAGACAGCTACCGTTCGTTCATCTAGATAACTTTTGTCTGCTCTATTCACGGAACAGCTGCGCTCCATCCTATCTAACCAAGTACCACGTCAAGTTATGTCTCTCTCTTCTCAAGTCTCGTTCCACAGATTTCTATAAGGTGGCAGAGCTATTCTGGTTTGAAATTCCTATACAGCATAGTCAGATAACTTAACTTGATAAGGAAATTCGCTTCAATTTTCTTGGCTTTTGTGTGAGTCTTATCAATTCGACTGCATTAAGCTAATCAAATTATATTACTATTATAATTATAGTTATGTGATTAAATAAATTAATAAAAATAAAACTTGTCGACATGAAGAACACATTATATTGATATTACAAGAAAAATACTTTAAAACAGATGCCCATCGGGCTGCAATGTCGCACATATTGCGGGGGAATGTGCATCCGGCCACAATTTGTGCAACACTGCAACGTAGACAGTGCCTGCAAAAAGTAAATTTACTTATGAACGACACCTTTGCGCAATGAAACGACTTGTCGATAGTCGCACGACAAACAAAGATTTTGGCGGTTGAAGTCCTTCTTCTTGGACGGCATGTAGGCGAAGAAGGTCTTCTTGCTTAGGTTCGACCAGCGGGAGTAGCTGCGCAAGGCGAGCCAGATGAGGCGCGAGTCCTGCAGATCCATCTCATTCAGGCGGCTATAGTATTCGTTGCGCATTTGCCTGAAGCGGCTGAGGATCGTTTCGGCAGAACACGTGGCTTCTGGTGGCCACTGAAAATCATTATATTTTGGTTCGGGAAAGTGCGCAAGACTCGTATTCAATCTCAACATCTTGAGCACTTTGTGCGTCTTCACTAGAGTATCCGCGGCACGGTGATCCCTAAAGGTCCTGCCGTAGCGCTGTGCCACCCACTCCAACAGCGGCGGCATCTTGTGCGCATTGGGCAATGTCACGAGCACATAGCGTGCGTCTTTCCTCAGTATGTCCATGGCGCTATTTAGCAGGTCGCACAGCATTTGCCTATTCTCCGGATCTATATTGTTCACCTGCAAGCGTTTCGGCGACTGGCTATTGTCGGGCTCTGCAGCCTCCACCAAGGCGTTTTGCTGGCCAGCGCGAAACGTCTGCCTGACAGATGTGTCAGCTGTTTCTAGGGCCACGTCCGAGACGTGTCGCTGTTGCCATTGGATGCGCTCCATGTGCTTCTTTGAAGTCTGCTTCTTCTTGCCGGCTTCCATTGCCTTCTGCAGTGCCGCAACGCAGTAGCTGCGTATTATGGGCTGTGGGTCGGCGTACATAAGATCCGGCTCGGAATGTTGTTCCGGAGCTCCGTAGATCCGAAAGAAGTTCCAAGCCAGCATACCGTTAGGTATGAAACGTCGAAAGCACTGATTATCCGCCTCCGTGCTTAATGATCCCGTTGACGGCACATCAGACGGAGGATCCTTAATTACTTCAACTGGTTTCTCTTCCTCGCTGCTCTTTGGCAATGGTTTATTCAAAATAGTTTTTTTTACTTTAACTGGTTTCTCGCTGCTCTTTGACAATGGTTTATTCACATGAGTTTTTACTTTAACTGGTTTCACATTAGTTTTTTTCGCTGGCCCGGGACAGCGTAGGCTGGGATCCGGTAGCAGACTAATGGTCTTGTGATCCACCACCCTTCCCAATTGCATAACATGTACGCTCTGCAGATCATCTTGATAGGGCATGGGATGACCTAATATAGGATTTGTCTGCGAGTCCGTTGTCACTAGCAGGGGTAGAACAATGTGGCCATCTTTGGCATCCTGCTGTGAGACCATGTCAGGCATCGAGACCAGCTTCACGCACATTTGACAGTGTTCCTTGCACGGATGCGAGTTGCGGATGTATTTGCTTCGCATCTCCATGAGATGGTGCATTCGGTGCGCTTCCCATTTCTTTGCCGCCTGCAACACCTCACGCTCCAATTGGCGCACGATGCCCGCGCTCTGCTGACACTTCCCAAGGCTCCCTATGTCCAACAGTTGCATGCAACGCTGCAACGTATCCGTGGTCAATTCGTGCTTTGTGTTGATCATGTTACGCTCCATCATGCGATGCATGCCGCAGAGCGATTTGTCCGTTGATCTGTGCTCGCGGACAAAGATCTGAGCGATTGCATCCGTCAGGCATTTCTTTACCTCACGCTTCATGGGCGATAGTTCGTATGTGGCAAACCAACGGGAGCTCTCGTTGGGTATATCCTTGTCCTTGAAGCTGCATTTCCGCTCATCGAGCTTCGAGATACGAGCTGGGGGTATGACGCTCTTGGGTCGCACCTGCGGTATAAAATATGGCAATTTATTGGCTGGCTCTTTGGGCCGATACTGCCGCTGTCGCTGCTGCTTCTGCTCCTGCTTGGGCAGCTTTTGCTGCAAGTGTTGCTGAAACCTCTTTCCATTCTCCGGCAATGGCAACACCTTATCCAGACCTCGCTTAGTCATCGCCATGTCCAGATGGGCAATGCCCGTCAATATGAACTGCTCGTTGGAATTGTATGCCCGCCCTATAGGCTTGGAGCTGTTCTGATCCTTGTAGTACGCCTCCCACAGAAACCAGAGAAAGGCCAAGTCGTTGCCTTGGCTTATTTCAATTATAGTCTTCAACTGCTTCGAGCTGGGCAACGGGTGCAGGCCCAACATATCAAGGCAGTCGTGCACCCGATACGCTGTCTCCTCACAAATATCGTCGCGCAGTGCGTGCAACAAGTCGTTGCATGCCCCGATCTGTAAGTCTGATAAGTTGCGATACCAACGCAACGATTGCTCCAGATCATTAAACTCGTCCATTCCCCAATGTCGATGCTATTGATGATGCAAGTCTAATCTTGTCAATCGAACTGACTTTTTTTTTCTATTTTTAATTATTAAAAAATATTTTGTACTGATAATTTTGACACCTACTTAGATTTTTTACATTTTACCTTTCTGAATATACGTAATTTGGGTAAAATAAAGCCAAGCCAGAATGTTGCAGATTTGAGCTCAGTTTATATTATTTTTTGTCTATCTCAGATCTGTTAAATATATCCTTTTACAAGATAATACATTTTTTCCAAGTAAATCATTTATTTTTCTTAACGCTGCTAAGGTAAAAGAGGATACTAAAAGGAAAAGTATTTTCAAGGCAATACAAACCAATTATTTATAACCTGCCCGAAGACTAGAAAATTGTTGAAAAATTAAGAGTGTATATTTTTTTAATATCCAGCAAAAAATATATGTTTTTCTTGTCATGAAAAAAATATTAAAAAAAAAAAACAAAAACAAAATGCCCCTAATTATATTTTATATATTTTTATATTTTATATTTTATACATTTTCTATAAGCTAAAAACATTATTCGTAACAATTGAGGTATTTTTTTAAATATATTTCATACAAGACAAATTTTTATTATATTTTTCTTTATTTCATTTATTACCAAATTTTTATTTCGCTTAAATAAAAAGTAAAGTATAATCTATTCTAGTAATAATATTATCCGATTTTAAACTCTTGGATTAATTTTGCTTTTGCCATAAGTAAAAGAAGTTTTTCATTAATTAAGATAAATATTTATTGAGATAGTAAATGTAAAAAAAGTTTAAAGTATCTAAAATAAATACTTGAAAGTTGTTTACTCAAGCACTTCCAGTAATAATTTTTTATAGTTTGATTAGCTTTAAATATAACGAATTTTGATTAGTCAGAACAGATTTGCCAAACATCAACCTAGTCTAGATGTTGCATATAGATTTAAAATCGTGGCTAGATTAATTCCGAAGGCCTTCTTGTCACACCAAAGTTATCAATGCACGAGCACAACCATTCAGTCATTCAGTTGCTTATAACAAACAAGAACATAACATCGAATAGATAACTAATATTAATAAAGAACTAGTATAATTACAGCCGGCACAGATATCAGGCCCATCGAGTGGGTATATAAACTGCGGCAATTCAGCTGAATGAACACATTTGGTAACGCTCACTTCACTGACTATAACCAAAAATGAAATCTGGTAAGTTCACTAAATACCTGGATCAATTCATATATATAGAGATAACTAATATCGATTTCGCTAGCTCTGATTCTTCTGTGTCTGGCCCTTTTCGCTGTGGCCATTTACGCCGATTGCGATCCCGACGGCAATGGACAACCCAATTGCTCCGGCACCAGCTCCACTAGATATCGCAACAACTGGGATCCCACTCGCTACTGGGTTTGCCAGGGTAATACCGCTACCACTGTCCTTTGCGATATCAACACCGGCTTCGATCCCGTATCATCTGAGTGCGTGTCTTGGAGCACCTGGCAATGGTATCCTCCATGCCCTGCCTAAGTTCTCTTAACTTTGGAAACTCAAATTGCAAATAAATAAAAAAGAATAATCATTTTGTGAATTAATTCTATTGCTTTTTGTCCGAAATACATATTTTCCTCTCTCTACACGCGTAATAATGAATATAAGTATGAAAAGGTCTTCAGCAGGATATGATAATAAGTAGAGCAACTTTCCTTGCAATCTTTATTTTTCTTTTTCATACAACAAATAATTTTTATACTTATCCGATTCCAACCCAAGATTTTAAAGACACATGAAACTGCAAAAATATGATATATACAATTTATCTTGATCGGGTCTTTAACTATAACTACTATATAATGGTAATACAAGCCTAAGTAAAACTTCAACTGAAGAGCTCTTAGACTTAGCGACTTGTTCGCATAGAAACACAAATATCGACCATATTGTTGCTACTGCTCATGAATGCATATCTGTTATCTATATATTATATACATCTATATAAAAAAAACTTGTGAACGGCATTGTCTTGTGCCTAGCCGCTCGTTTGTGTGTTCCATCCTTGTCTAGGGGAGTGCTAACTTGCTCTCCTTCCAAACAACACGAGTGAACGCAGCTGAACCCTCGTTTTATACGTGAAGTTCAGCGAATAAGCAGTTGGGAATTATAACAAAAAATGTGCTGGCTAATGAAGGAATACATGGAAATTGTATAACAGATCAATATTTTAACAAAGTTTTAAAATCACAAATTTATAAACATAGATGTCTAATTATGATAACTCTTATATAATTATATTAATTTTAAATATTTAATTATCATTTATTATATTAGATATATCAACTGCTTAAGATCTCTAGAGCGATTTGTCCGTTGATCTGTGCTCGCGGACAAAGATCTGAGCGATTGCATCCGTCAGGCATTTCTTTACCTCACGCTTCATGGGCGATAGTTCGTATGTGGCAAACCAACGGGAGCTCTCGTTGGGTATATCCTTGTCCTTGAAGCTGCATTTCCGCTCATCGAGCTTCGAGATACGAGCTGGGGGTATGACGCTCTTGGGTCGCACCTGCGGTATAAAATATGGCAATTTATTGGCTGGCTCTTTGGGCCGATACTGCCGCTGTCGCTGCTGCTTCTGCTCCTGCTTGGGCAGCTTTTGCTGCAAGTGTTGCTGAAACCTCTTTCCATTCTCCGGCAATGGCAACACCTTATCCAGACCTCGCTTAGTCATCGCCATGTCCAGATGGGCAATGCCCGTCAATATGAACTGCTCGTTGGAATTGTATGCCCGCCCTATAGGCTTGGAGCTGTTCTGATCCTTGTAGTACGCCTCCCACAGAAACCAGAGAAAGGCCAAGTCGTTGCCTTGGCTTATTTCAATTATAGTCTTCAACTGCTTCGAGCTGGGCAACGGGTGCAGGCCCAACATATCAAGGCAGTCGTGCACCCGATACGCTGTCTCCTCACAAATATCGTCGCGCAGTGCGTGCAACAAGTCGTTGCATGCCCCGATCTGTAAGTCTGATAAGTTGCGATACCAACGCAACGATTGCTCCAGATCATTAAACTCGTCCATTCCCCAATGTCGATGCTATTGATGATGCAAGTCTAATCTTGTCAATCGAACTGACTTTTTTTTTCTATTTTTAATTATTAAAAAATATTTTGTACTGATAATTTTGACACCTACTTAGATTTTTTACATTTTACCTTTCTGAATATACGTAATTTGGGTAAAATAAAGCCAAGCCAGAATGTTGCAGATTTGAGCTCAGTTTATATTATTTTTTGTCTATCTCAGATCTGTTAAATATATCCTTTTACAAGATAATACATTTTTTCCAAGTAAATCATTTATTTTTCTTAACGCTGCTAAGGTAAAAGAGGATACTAAAAGGAAAAGTATTTTCAAGGCAATACAAACCAATTATTTATAACCTGCCCGAAGACTAGAAAATTGTTGAAAAATTAAGAGTGTATATTTTTTTAATATCCAGCAAAAAATATATGTTTTTCTTGTCATGAAAAAAATATTAAAAAAAAAAAACAAAAACAAAATGCCCCTAATTATATTTTATATATTTTTATATTTTATATTTTATACATTTTCTATAAGCTAAAAACATTATTCGTAACAATTGAGGTATTTTTTTAAATATATTTCATACAAGACAAATTTTTATTATATTTTTCTTTATTTCATTTATTACCAAATTTTTATTTCGCTTAAATAAAAAGTAAAGTATAATCTATTCTAGTAATAATATTATCCGATTTTAAACTCTTGGATTAATTTTGCTTTTGCCATAAGTAAAAGAAGTTTTTCATTAATTAAGATAAATATTTATTGAGATAGTAAATGTAAAAAAAGTTTAAAGTATCTAAAATAAATACTTGAAAGTTGTTTACTCAAGCACTTCCAGTAATAATTTTTTATAGTTTGATTAGCTTTAAATATAACGAATTTTGATTAGTCAGAACAGATTTGCCAAACATCAACCTAGTCTAGATGTTGCATATAGATTTAAAATCGTGGCTAGATTAATTCCGAAGGCCTTCTTGTCACACCAAAGTTATCAATGCACGAGCACAACCATTCAGTCATTCAGTTGCTTATAACAAACAAGAACATAACATCGAATAGATAACTAATATTAATAAAGAACTAGTATAATTACAGCCGGCACAGATATCAGGCCCATCGAGTGGGTATATAAACTGCGGCAATTCAGCTGAATGAACACATTTGGTAACGCTCACTTCACTGACTATAACCAAAAATGAAATCTGGTAAGTTCACTAAATACCTGGATCAATTCATATATATAGAGATAACTAATATCGATTTCGCTAGCTCTGATTCTTCTGTGTCTGGCCCTTTTCGCTGTGGCCATTTACGCCGATTGCGATCCCGACGGCAATGGACAACCCAATTGCTCCGGCACCAGCTCCACTAGATATCGCAACAACTGGGATCCCACTCGCTACTGGGTTTGCCAGGGTAATACCGCTACCACTGTCCTTTGCGATATCAACACCGGCTTCGATCCCGTATCATCTGAGTGCGTGTCTTGGAGCACCTGGCAATGGTATCCTCCATGCCCTGCCTAAGTTCTCTTAACTTTGGAAACTCAAATTGCAAATAAATAAAAAAGAATAATCATTTTGTGAATTAATTCTATTGCTTTTTGTCCGAAATACATATTTTCCTCTCTCTACACGCGTAATAATGAATATAAGTATGAAAAGGTCTTCAGCAGGATATGATAATAAGTAGAGCAACTTTCCTTGCAATCTTTATTTTTCTTTTTCATACAACAAATAATTTTTATACTTATCCGATTCCAACCCAAGATTTTAAAGACACATGAAACTGCAAAAATATGATATATACAATTTATCTTGATCGGGTCTTTAACTATAACTACTATATAATGGTAATACAAGCCTAAGTAAAACTTCAACTGAAGAGCTCTTAGACTTAGCGACTTGTTCGCATAGAAACACAAATATCGACCATATTGTTGCTACTGCTCATGAATGCATATCTGTTATCTATATATTATATACATCTATATAAAAAAAACTTGTGAACGGCATTGTCTTGTGCCTAGCCGCTCGTTTGTGTGTTCCATCCTTGTCTAGGGGAGTGCTAACTTGCTCTCCTTCCAAACAACACGAGTGAACGCAGCTGAACCCTCGTTTTATACGTGAAGTTCAGCGAATAAGCAGTTGGGAATTATAACAAAAAATGTGCTGGCTAATGAAGGAATACATGGAAATTGTATAACAGATCAATATTTTAACAAAGTTTTAAAATCACAAATTTATAAACATAGATGTCTAATTATGATAACTCTTATATAATTATATTAATTTTAAATATTTAATTATCATTTATTATATTAGATATATCAACTGCTTAAGATCTCTAGATATAGTTAAAAATTCACTAGTGGATCCAAATGCAACTATCAATCTATAGCTGCACTCCATATTTTCCTTATAGTTTCTCCATTTATTATACACTATAAACGTTTGTGCAGAGATATCAAGTGTCTATCAGTTATATGACGGCATTGTCCGTAAAGATTAATTGTGTTTATGTAAATGCTATTAAATCTATTTTATTTGATAAAAAAGCCTATCTATGTAGTCCACAGTCCACTTGATAAAATAAGGAAGGTAAACAGCTTTTTTTTATGGATTTTTACAAACTTTAAACGCAATTTATTATTGTCTTTAGTTATTGTTTCAAAATTGTAATGCAATTACATAAGTAAGTCATAAATTACAGAGATTGAAAAAGCAATTCTCTGGCATATATGAACGTAAATATACATATAGAAGATATATATATATATATATATATATATAAATAGTGCGAAATGAGCCCAGCATCTTATTGATGCCAATTGTCCAGCAGTATGAGCAGAATATATATATATTAAGAGATTCCTTCTCATAGGCTGGGCCCACTTCACAGCATTTGTAGCTATGTATGTGTGATGTTTAATATAATCGCTACGTATATTGTATCGTATATCATATAGTACAGGGTATGACGCAACACACATACAACAGTTATAATGTATTCATCAAACACAATTTGTTACGGCCGTTGGCTTTTGGAATGAGCTGCGTTGGCCTTAAACTAAAATCCTAAACAGTAACAACTAAACAATCAGTGTTTAGAAATACTATACGAAATCACTTTTTGGCATTGTGCGATAATCGAATCAAACTTTAAACTTAACTAACCGCGACATAAAACAAACTAAATCAAATCAGAAAATATACTAAATAAGCTACAACGATTTTTTGGCCTTAGAAAAATGCTAATTATTGTCTGGTACGGAAAGTTATATATTGCGCTAATCTAAATAAATAAAATCATTTAAATTATTTTAAGTTAAATAAAGTTTAAAATCGAATCCGAATCAAAGCACTGGCGACGTCAACGTCTTCGGGCAACAGAAATCCTGAACATTAAACTAAACCAAAATCGAACAAAGTCAATATGTATAAAGGAAAACTTAAAGTAGAGTTGTAGTCGAAAAATAAACTACAGTAAAGCCTTCGTCGTAAATTCGCACATGATCATAAAAATTATTGGAGATGGCATCTAGTCTATGCTCGGATTTATAATTTGAGCCAAGCTTGCCCAGGTGCCAAACACAAAACCGCACAGACCAAATATCAATATGAGAAAATCCTTCCATAGCATCCAGTTATAGCGGCCGTAACCCACATTATAATAGGTAATAATCTCAATAATGGGCGGCGCGATTAGCGCCAATGCCGAGCTGCTGACGGCGCCGACAAGCGAGATAATCGAGCCCAGATTGGGTATGACGGCGGCCAAAATAACTAGAATAAAAAGCGACTTCGGAGTTAAAAACATTCGAGAGAAGAGAGAATTGAGAAACAAAGGAACGTTTGATAGAAAAGACAATAGAGAATGAATGAAATGAGTCGAAAAAGAATGTTATACTCCCCTCAAGGGAAATTTGAGTATATCTGAAATATGAATATGTGAATATATGATATGAAAAGTATATATAACAAAACAATTCCAAAACGAACAATAAAGTCTTTAGTAATTTGACAAAATCAGAGAAAATTGAAAATCAGTGAAAGTAATATACAAAGAATGTATTTCGTGCAGCTGACAAAATCTTTGAAAATTTACGCGATATATAAATATAAATTTCTTTTCATGCATACATATACCAATTAAACTTCCCTCTCTATTACGTAAACATCATTGAGCGAAAAAACATGCATTTAGACCAGAAAAAAACAATTCGTTTCAGTTAAGAATTAAACATGGAAACGCTTATATAACCAATGTTATTTGTCTAATGTTAACTAATAATACATGCCCCCACTCTTATCCTATAGCAGTTCTCAATGTTGAATATCTAATCAAAATTATAAGCAAAAGCAACTCATACACGATGCCATAAGTTAATATAATATGAAGTGAATGAAAGTGTAAGTAACAGGCATATGAAAGTTTATAGAAAGACAGATAAATGGAAATGATCATAAATTATGAACAATAATGTGTTTGCCCAATCCGTTGCCAAACTTACAGGTAAATGTGACCAGCACTGTGCGTAGCACCGTAGCAGCCAAGTCCTTAGCGCGTGCTGTATCAAAGTTACTGCGTACAAAGGGTTCCACCATGTTGACAGGCACATAAAATTGTAGAGTATAGGACAGAAATATAGCCACGGCCATGGAGATTCGTACCAACTGCGATAGACTGTGATGAGGAAAAAATAATGAATTAAAATACAATTTATATATATAATTAATTCATATATCTACTTACACATCACCCTGTGGCAAATTGAGCGTAATGCTGCCCTTAACACTCTCACCATACTTCAAATAGCCAAAGAATCCAACGGAGGTGTACAGACAGGCCACAATGACCATGCCCGTATTCAGAACTCCAGTTCTGCCGCCAAAATCTTCGGGTGTGCGCATATTATTCTCCAAAGGCAGCACCACGCCAATGCCCTCGAAGGCATAGATCGCCGTGCCAAAGTACAGAGGCAATGTGGCCCAGGTGGCATACGGTTTTACGGTATGCGTATCGGGCAAATCGTGTAGCATATACGAAAAGCTAATGGCCAAGCCGGCCACTGTCAACACGGCCGCAAACAGAGAGACAGGGGTCAGGTACTTAAGGTTGCGCACCAAATTCAACAGCACCATGGGTAACAGCATCAACAGCAAATAGATGCGTACATCCAGCTTAAAATAGTGATCCATCACATCTTTAATATTGAGCGCCACGAACAGAAAGTAGACACAGCAGAAGCCAATTTGTGTGATGAACAAAAACGTTGTGACAACACGTCGCGCCAGCTGCGAGTAACGTCTCAGTCCCAATGGACCCGTGTCGAAACTACAGAAAGCCACCTCCGAAAAGTCCAGCGACGGCTGCTGCAGTCGCCTGCACAACTCATGCGAACAGTTGACCAACATGTGCATACAGTGCGTACAAATGGCACCCATAATCAGCGTGCCAAAGAGACCCACGTAGAGACCGGCATTCTTGAATGCCTCCGGCATGGCCAAGATGCCAGTGCCAATATTACCTTTTAGCAAATGGACTAACGTATCGAAATTCGATGTTGGATGTTCCAGCGTGCGATGTAGTGTGGGATTGTAAAGCGATTTGTTATGCTGTTCCTCGCCCGTCTGACTGCTCTGCTCATCCTCATCATCCCCAGCGGCTGCAGCGTGTACTGTGTTAACAAATTGAAATTTTTTGTAGAATTATTTTATTTATTTTGGTTATTTTGCTCATTCTATGTAGACATTTGCTTTAAGTGGCACTAATATATTTAATTTAGAATACTTTAATATTGTTAAAAAGTTCAAATCGTTTATATTATATCAATTAAAACTTATATTATATATATATATGAAGCCAAGACTTATAGAAATGAATGTATTTGAATCTACATTATATATTTTTTCATATCTCGCCCTGTCTCTTGGGAAAACGCTTCACATGTAAAGGGAATTGGACAAAGCCCATCAATTATGATTCTTATCAAAATCGCAGTTATATTTAACAAAATCGATTACTCTATGGAACATGTCGTCTACAAATGTTGCCCTCATAAATATATATGTATATATATATATATAATATATAGCCATAACTGACTCAAATAGTTATAAGAAAACTTTATTAACCACAAAAAAGACCAAATTAAAACTAATTTATGGTTTTCTTAAATATAAAAAAAAATTAATTCATTCTATTTTAAGTTCATAGATTAGCTGACCTCTATTTCTAACAATTTCTCTCACAGTGACATTTTCAGAGAATACAATTCACAACAATTAATCTAAATGCAACTTTTAACCTATTTTCTCTTATGATTTAACTCTTAAATTTAGAATTTCAAGTGCCAATTTTAAGCAAATGTCATTTGAGAATAGCAAAAACTATTGCCACTTACCTGCGATGCTGTCCTCGCTGTGTACATTGACCAGCGTACTGTCCGGCGGTGAGCTGCGTACCGGCGGCCGGATTAAGCCGTTTCCGCTGCGATTGCCCTCATAATCGGAATTGTCACTTTGCTGCAGCAGCAGTGGCTGTCGTTCGGACATCTTCGGCTTGCGCTTGGCGGGCTCGGCAAGCTGAAAGATCAATTGAGTAAGAGGGAGAGAGCAAGCAAGAGAATAGAAAACTCAATGAATTCTATTGTGTGTGTGTGATCGCGCGCGTGTGTGTGTGTGTGACAGGGAGAGTTTCTGCCTAGTTGATGCGGTCGCCTCGCCAGCTAAAGTCACACTGAAAATATAAACGCTGCAAATGCCGCTTTTGAGTCTGGCAAATTTTCCGCTGACTCAGTTTTTCTACAGAAACTCGGACAATGGTCGGATAATGTGCGCATGATAAGGGATATGGAAGAAGAAGTGGAAAGTTTTCTGCGGCCAACTATAGCTGATATGAGTGTAAGCCTTGGACTTGGACTTGATCAGTTGCAAGTTCGACTTCATTGCATTTATATACATATACATATAATGAAAACATATGTGCGCATTATTCATAAAACGATATGAAATCGAGGAGGCCAGTGACTCATTTGATTTTGGCTCTAACATAGAGACTGAAGCACGAAAACAATCCACAAAGCGATAAGAATGAAATATGTATTGCTTTTATATATAAACATATATATACTGTCAAATCTCGCTGTCGAAATGTTTATGAATTAAATAAATATCAGACCATCAATACGCCCACAAATGCAATATAAATATAAACTACAAGAGAACTTATTTAACCTACTTCTATAAGATTGTCTTATCCCGTCTATACACTTTTCATAATCATGATAATATACTCGCAGAGAATTAGCACTTTGTTGGTAAATTATCTAACTGTGTCAAATGAACATAATGCAAATATGCATAGTCTGATATCTATAATATAATATAATAATATAATAATATAATATATAATAATATAATAAAATAATGATCTATAAAAGCTGAACAATCAAGAGATCTTTTAGCATACAATTTAAGAGTTTTTTATAGATTAAAAAGGTTAGAATATCTTAAAACTATAGAATCCAGTATAAGTCGAATTCCGAAAATATGATATATAAATTTAATTTATCTTTATATTTCAAAAAAATTTCAACATGCTAGCGCTTACTGCATTTATAGTCTTAATAATAATTACGCTTTTGAGATGCCTAAAAAATATAAATTGGTAGTAGAGATTTGTATACGAGATAGTTTTCAAACTTTTTTGAAAATTTGACTAAAACTAATATAAAAAATAATGGTATCTGCCTATATAAGCTATCAATATCTATTTGACCCAGACCCAGACCCACAAGCAGACTGTCGCGCGCTCAGAACACTCACATTTCCAAGTAGCTCAAAATACAAAAAACTCATTTGTGCAACTTAGAAGACATATCATTAAAAAAAACACTTACAAATAAAAATTGTAGATAAGTTATCTGTATACTGTTGTAAATGGATATGCGGGCAGTAGGCGCGTGTTGATTGCGCTGGCAGTTAAGAAAACATATAAAAAATGCTCAACTAAAACTGTAAGAAACATAAATAAAAATTAACTGAAATTAAATCGAGGTATACCAACTATTTTGTACATACCTGTTGAAGGTTGGTCAATGGGGTTAAGTCTTCCATTGATTTTTTTGTCTTTTACTTTTTTGTTCTTTTATGCGCTGCTGACACTGGCAATGAATGTGGCGCAGCGAAGGTCACGGCGTAGAATTTGGAACAATTCCTGTTAAACAAAGAACATATGTTATTTACTTGTTTTTTTAAACGCAATTTGATTGTTCGCAAATCAAACATTAATGGCCAAGCATGCAGATTTCTTAGCATCTGTATCGTGAATCAGCATAGTGTTGCTTCTGGCTACAATGTTTTTATATTGCACAATTTGCACACACATACACATACAGCTGCAGTGCAGTCTTGAATTACACTTCAATGAATGAACCAAAAACAGTTTTTTGATGCCATGTAATACGAATTTTTCACATGTAACACATTAATTATCAATACCTCGTTAAAGCCAATGATGACACGACCACAAACAAAACAAAACCAAAACTCTTGGTCTGCTGCTTCTTGGCGCAGTCATTAGAGCAGCCATTCACTACGAAACGGCAAAATTGGTGATGTTTTTCAACACTAGTTTCCAGGCGTTTTATGTGACGTGTCTGCGCTTCATCGAAAAAATTAATAACAAAATAAATTGAATATTTTCCAAAATAAATAGCACAAAGCCGCAAAATGGTTGAAATTAGCAGCGTAATTGCAAAGTTTTACAATGACTACGTGCAAAACACACCGAAAAAGCTAAAACTCGTGGATATCTACTTGGGCTACATTCTACTAACCGGCATCATACAATTTGTTTACTGCTGCCTGGTGGGCACATTTCCCTTCAACTCATTCCTATCGGGCTTCATCAGCACCGTCAGTTGCTTTGTGCTGGCCGTTTGTCTGCGTCTGCAGGCGAATCCACAGAATAAGGCCGTTTTTTCGGGTATCTCACCGGAACGTGGCTTTGCCGACTTTATATTCGCGCACGTTATTCTGTTTTTGGTTGTCATGAACTTCATTGGATAAGTTAAATAAGTGAATTACATTGGTAAAATTCAGTAATTTATCGGAATAATTAAATGTTTAACTTAAAAAACCAGAGTATTATTTTCTTATTTGAAACGATAGCATTTGCTATAAGCCTGCAGGAAATCAAATGCATCACAGGTAAATTCCATTATCAGCTCCGGTTCGGGCATTAAAAGCTGCACATATTCAATTTTCTCCATGTAGTCGGCTAGTACTGGTTCGGAAATATTGGATTTGGTGCATTCCTTGGATTTTGTCATTCTCGGTCGCTCTATTTCACGCAATGAGTCGTTGACATTAATGGGTATCAAGTCTCTGAATACTGTTCGGGCTTGTGGAAAGTTCAGCTTTTGGGCAACCTAAACATTGAATATTTGGAGATTTTTAAACGGTATTTAAAGTACTTATTTATTTGTATACCTTCGGCGCAATAGCCGCCTTGGTGCGTGGCGTTAGTTCTGCTGAAGCCTCCACCTGCATCTTCCGCAAAGAGCTTAACTCAACCTGGCTGCGTACCATGGTATTATACTGCGGCACAGCAAACTTATTGGCTGCATTGCGCGAATGCGCTTTTAGCTGCTGCACAGGCCTATCTTCAGCGGACATAAAGTCTGTAGGTGATTCATTTTGCGATTTCACGCAAACGTTTGGCACTGATGAAGTTATCTGCACCCGACGTGAAACTTGCTTCGGATTATATTGTAAGCGTGTTTTCCGTTTGTGCGGCATTCTGTATATTTTTTTTAATAAATTTGGTTTAGTTTTCAAACATTTACAATGGCGTTAAAAGTGAATGATGCTCGCATTTATATTTCACAACACTGGGCTGGAACAGCAACTGTGCCGCAACAAACGAGTAACGATGTAAGCGTTTTACAGCACTGGCACCGCATTGACGAACAGCTGTTTTGATTTCTTTCCGATGCTTACTCCAAATTAAATTCTAATTATTAATTAAACTATGGCTTTATCACGCGCTAAGACTAATGAACTGCCAACTGATGCAGTCATCATTTCAGAAGATCAAGCTCTGCGATACCAGTGGAAAATCATAACATCCTGGGACAAAATTGGAGAAGTGTAGGTACAAAATTCAAACTGCTTATCTAACCGCTGATAACCATCATATTTTTCTAGGTGGTCTCTGCGATATACGCCCGGCATACTCAGCGCCATGGCAGCCGCAACGGGTGCCTACGTCAATAATCACTACCGGAATCGCTTACGTCTGGGTGCCCATGGTCGCCTGTCTACCTACTTGCCTATTGTGGCAGTGCCGGCTATCTTTGCAATGCTTTCGCATAAATTCTTTATACAGCGTCCGTTGCTGTTGAATCCTTTGGCCGAGTGTCCAGTGTGTACGCAGATGCGCAGCGCCGCTTTCCAAACAGCAGTGGGGGCTGTCTATCCCACGATTCTGGCTCCCATTGCAGCCTTTATGTTTGCCACCAGATGCTATACGTATCGATTGCCTTCCATAACGGAAAATCCAAGGGAAGTGTTAATGCTGTATCGAAAGCTTACGCGTCCTATTACACCCGCACTTACCACAATCATTGCGATACAGGCATTTATTACCATGTACCTGACGGGCAAGGAAGAGAAACAGAACTATAATTTATTGCTCCGTATGAAACAAATAGAACATGAGCTGGAGGAGCAGCATATGACACAACAAGCACAACGATTGAACTTTTAATTAATATAGAAAAGAAACTGTTTAAAATTGTTTTATTTAATTTAAATGTAGGTTCACATCTAATGGTGTAAGTGCAGCGACAATTTCTCAAAAAGTCGATTTCTGTATCGATAACCATGTTAACCGATTCAATTACAGCTAAATTTTGACTGTCGAACTTGTAAATACGAAAACTTCGGTGCCGTGTTGGAAGTTATTGTAACTTTGAAGCTTAATTTGCTAACGGCCTGCAAATGTCAATTTGTTTACTGTTTATATATCCGACATTTGTAAGTCACAGTAAGATGTAAGATTAGGTGCTGCAACAATGCGCATTTCTAACGACTAGGCTTACCTTATTTATAGACTGACTCCTTATACTTTGGACTGTTTTTGGAATCAGCCGTCATTTGCAAGTCACCGTGTTACAGTCACAAGTTCACCATTTTTTGCGCATCTCTAAACCTTGTCTAACTGGTTCACGGCTGAACTTGCCGCATTGGAATCGGTTCAACTTACACGTTGGTGCAGTCGGTTGACGAAATTGTTTTGTATTTGCATTTAACTCTTCAAAACGTGAGTAATACGCAACCAATACATACACAAATTGTTGTCGTAAAACAAACAACTTTGTGAAAGTGTAGCAATATTATTTTCTATAATTTTGTCACGTAAAAGACAATTCCTGCACTTTCACATTTTGCATCGCATACAATTCACATTTACGAAGACAATTTTCCGTCGCGTGGCAATAGGCCAAAACTAACCTTTTTTTCTTGCGGCTAATGCACTTTTAGGTAATATCAATCAAAAAGCAATATGAAGTTCCTCACCGCCAAGGAGGTGCGCGATGCCTACCTGAACTTCTTCAAGGAGCAGAAACATATCTATGTTCACTCGTCCAGCACCATTCCATTGGATGATCCCACTCTGCTCTTTGCCAATGCCGGTATGAATCAGTTTAAGCCCATTTTTCTAGGCATTGCTGATCCCAACAGCGAAATGTCCAAATGGGTTCGTGCTGTCAATACACAAAAATGCATTCGCGCTGGCGGCAAGCACAACGATTTGGATGATGTAGGCAAGGATGTGTATCATCACACGTTCTTTGAGATGTTGGGCAATTGGTCGTTCGGGGACTATTTCAAGAAGGAAATTTGCAGCTGGGCATGGGAATTTCTAACAAACCGTTTGAATCTACCCAAGGATCGCTTGTATGTAACCTATTTTGGCGGTGATGCAGCCAGCGGATTGGAACCCGATCTAGAGTGTAAGCAAATGTGGTTGGATTTGGGCTTGAAGCCCGAGCACATTTTGCCAGGCAGCATGAAGGATAACTTTTGGGAAATGGGCGAAACTGGGCCATGTGGACCGTGCTCAGAGCTGCATTTTGATCGCATTGGCGGACGCAGTGTACCAGAGCTAGTGAATATGGATGATCCCGATGTTTTGGAGATATGGAACCTCGTGTTCATACAATACAATCGCGAATCCGATGGCACTCTAAAGCAACTGCCTAAGAAACACATCGATTGCGGCATGGGCTTCGAGCGTTTGGTCTCTGTAATCCAGAATAAACGTTCCAACTATGACACGGATTTGTTCGTGCCACTCTTTGATGCCATACAGGCGGGCACTGGTGCTCCGGCTTATCAGGGACGTGTAGGAGCTGACGATGTCGATGGCATCGATATGGCGTATCGTGTTTTGGCCGATCATGCACGCACGATAACAATAGCATTAGCTGATGGCGGCAATCCCGATAACACGGGCAGAGGCTATGTACTTAGACGCATCCTACGTCGCGCTGTGCGGTAAGTACTGCATATAATATATAAACACTGAGCTCATTTCTGCTTCTCTGCAGCTATGCTACTGAAAAGTTGAACGCCAAGCCCGGCTTCTTCGCCACCCTAGTGACCACCGTTGTCGACTTACTGGGAGATGCCTTTCCCGAGGTCAAAAAGGATCCGCAACACATTATGGACATAATTAACGAGGAGGAGCAACAGTTCTTGAAGACATTGTCACGTGGTCGCAATTTGCTAAATCGAACCATTGAGAAACTGGGCGCCGATCAAACTACCATTCCCGGTGATGTGGCCTGGCGTTTGTATGATACATATGGTTTTCCCGTGGATCTTACCCAGCTAATGGCCGAAGAGAAGTCGCTGCAGATAGACATGGCTGGCTACGAAGCAGCCAAACATAATTCGTATATCCTTTCGCAAGGCAAAGGCGCTAGCAAGATCGATGAGATCAATCTGGATGTGCACGCCATATCGGAACTGCAGGAGAAGGGCGTGCCACCCACCAACGATTCCTTCAAATACGTATACGAAGCTGTTTCTAATGATCGTGACTCCGCCTACAAATACAGCGATTGCACCAGCAAAATCATCGCATTGCGATATGAGAACAAATTCGTCCAGGAGATCAGCAGCGGACAGAAGGCCGGTATTGTACTGGACAAGACGAATTTCTATGCGGAAAGCGGTGGTCAGATCTTTGATCAGGGTGCGCTGGTCAAGTTGAACGATGAAGCCAATGAATTTCTTGTGGATCGCGTTTACAATCGTGGTGGCTACATACTCCACATTGGCGTTGTCGAGGGCAACCTGGCCGTGGGCGATGAAGTGCAGCTGCATATTGATGTTGAGCGTCGTTGGCTAACCATGAAGAATCATTCAGCTACGCATGCTCTCAATCATTGTTTGCTGCAGGTGCTCGGCAAGGATACGGAGCAGAAGGGTTCGCTTGTGGTGCCAGAAAAGCTGCGTTTTGATTTCAACAGTAAGGCAGCCATGACCATTGAACAAGTAGCCAAGACGGAGCAACTGACCCGCGATATGGTGTACAAGAATATGCCCATCTATGCCAAGGAGTCTCAGCTGGCCCTAGCCAAGCGTATACGAGGCCTGCGCTCCGTCTTCGATGAAGTCTATCCCGATCCGGTGCGTGTAATCTCCTTTGGCGTACCCGTCGATCAGCTCGAATCCCAGCCAGAAGCCGAGGCAGGAGAACAAACCTCTGTGGAATTCTGTGGCGGCACACATCTGCGTAACTCTGGGCATATCATGGACTTTGTCATCAGCAGCGAGGAAGCCATTGCTAAGGGCATTCGACGCATTGTCGCGCTAACTGGACCCGAGGCATTGAAAGCCCTCAAGAAATCCGAAGGATTCGAGAAGGAGATCAACAAGTTAAAAGCCACTATTGAGGACGATAAGACGGGCAAGGATTCCAAGTTGTACGTGAAGCAAATTGTCGAACTAACCGAACAAATCTCCCATGCAACCATACCCTATGTCAAGAAGGATGAGATGCGCAATTTGCTTAAGTCCCTAAAGAAAACGCTCGACGACAAGGAGCGTGCTCTACGCGCCGCTGTCTCCGTTACGGTTGTGGAACAGGCCAAGGCTTTATGTGAAGCGAATCCAAAGGCGAACGTACTGGTCCAACAACTAGAGGCATATAACAATACCAAGGCGCTGGACGCTGCTCTGAAGCAGGTGCGTTCGCAATTGCCCGATGCAGCTGCCATGTTTGTATCCGTTGATGCCGACTCCAAGAAGATATTTTGCCTCTGCTCTGTACCCAAGAGCGCCGTCGAGAAGGGTTTGAAGGCCAACGAATGGGTGCAACATGTATCGCCTGTGCTTGGAGGCAAAGGTGGCGGTAAGCCCGAATCCGCTCAAGCATCGGGCGGTAATTTCGAACGCGTCGACGAAATTGTTCAATTGGCCAGCAAATTTGCCCAGGCAAAGCTGAACTAAACTGCTTTCAACAACAATTTGCATACTCAAAAGGCTTATTCGCAACACAAAAATACTTTAGACTGTTCGAAACAGTCAAGCTGCATTTGAAATGAATTTGTGCTTATTTATAAAAAATAATATTAAACATTTGTAAAATTTTCTACTTATTGGCAAAAGAATATGTTTTTGAAATTTTATGTTTGTTGTCTAACTGGAGAGCCCAACTCAATTGGCTTAAACGTGAAATACCAATACCAAAATTTTCAAAATATTTGTTGGGAATAAATTGTGGCTTTTAAAATACCTAGGGATCGAATAGTTCTGTTAATAAACCGAATTTATTAACTAAACACTAACAATTTACCTGGTTATAACTGATGCAGGTGTCGGATATTCATCATTCCTTAAATTAACTCTTAAAAGCATACCAATTTAATAGTATATTACATAAACTATAAATTTATTGTTCCACAAATGTATTATCCTGTATTTATGTAAATGTGGTTGTTTTCGAACCGAGAGTCAAACTAGTTACAGTTATTTTTACACAATATCCAATCGACTGCTTCACCGAAATTTTTAACCACAGCTGTCGGTGGCGGGGAGATCGAGGCCGCAACTTCGGGTAAAAATTTGCCGGTCTTGACGAGTATGCCCTGCATGCCCGCTTGCATGGCTCCTGCAATATCATCGTTGGCATCCTGGCAACAACAATCAATTTAAATCGAATCAGAAAATAAATATTTATATATTTATCCTACATCGCCAATCATGACGCATTCGTGAGGTTGCATGCCTTCTGGTATTGCACTTTTGAAAAAGAATTGATTTGGTTTGCCTATAATCGTTGCCATCTTGTCTGTCGCATACTCCAAGCCCTTGACAAAGCAACCGGGTCCCAGGGCCAACCCATCCGAACGTTTATAATATTTGCCCTGGTGCACGGCCACAAGCTTATGCGACTTCTGCTGCATCAGCACACTATAAAGGAAAGTGGTCGCTTTAAGAAACAACTGCTGCTGTATATCAATCCCTCTGCTCACGTGAATGCCTTATTTAGGTGCTCATAATCAAAGGCAATGGGCGCCAGGCCCACAACGACCGAATCCTGAGGACGACTCAAGTCTTCTTCGGGAAAATCTTTGCGAGCATCGATCGATAGCAAATAGAGAGGATTCAGATTCTCTTTCGCAACATATACAGCAGCTGCGCTCAACGAACTGTAAATCTCGTTGGCATCCAGTTTAAATCCTATTTTGATCAATCGATCGTAGAGCGTTTGTTTTGAATCCTTAGTGGTGTTTGTTACAAATTTAACGGTAATATTACTGCTGCGCAATCTACAAGAAACAACAATACATATACACATATTTTCAAGTTCATTACATGTTATAACTTAGACATCACCTTTGCAATCCCATTAAAGCATTAGGTGTTGGATCATCCTCTACATGGAGCGTGCCACTAAGATCTATCAGTGCAGCTTTCACGGGCATTTTTCTAAATTGCTCCAATCTCCTGGGGAACATTAAGGCTATCTATCGATAGCAACTGACATGAAATGTTTACAACGAAATTATCGAGTAATAACTTAAATGAAAATAATCGAATGAACCATTTGGTTAATTTTACTAAAGCAACATTTTATCAAGAGTTAAATTTTCATTTTTCATTAAATTTTTCTTTAAATTATTTTAAACGGAACGGTATTTAATAAAACTAAAATCTAAAAACTAACTAAAATGTAATAACTTGTAGACTTGTATTTGATTCATACTGCCATAATAATACCTCTACTGATGCAGAATATATATCGATATATACAGTTGCCGGCTTTATAATAAAAATAAATAAGACCATATGACAAAATGTCACTATTTCCAATATCAAGTCGATTAATAAACAAATTGCTTATTAAAAATCCCATAAATTATTGCCAAATCGCAACTGCGCTGCGTCCCAAAAAAAGCAAGTCCACACGGAAAGAGGTAAAGCACTTCTACAAATATATTATGTTTATATAACTAATTATTAAAATAAATGGCATGCTAGGCACAATACTTTTCGGATGCGAAACGAGTTCGAACTATAGGTGGCAAAGGAGGCGATGGCTGTGTATCATTCCTACAGCTGTGGTGCAACGAACGCGCCGGCCCCGATGGCGGAGATGGCGGTAATGGTGGCCATGTCATCTTCCAGGCCTCAAATGATGTACGCAATTTTAATCATGTGAACAGCGTTCTAAAAGCCACTGAAGGAGGAATTGGTAATGCTAAGGAATGTCATGGCAAGAATGCCAAACATACGGTGATTAAAGTGCCCGTGGGAACAGTCGTACGCAATGCACAGGGTCTGATTGTGGCCGATTTGGGAACTGTGGAGCTAATGTTTGTGGCTGCTCGTGGTGGGGCGGGTGGCAAGGGAAATCGTTTCTTTACCACCGACAAAGAGACCAGTCCCAAGGTGTGTGAGTATGGACCTCCCGGCGAGGATTGTAGCTATATGCTGGAGTTACGCAGTATGGCTGAGGTGGGTCTGATTGGTTTTCCAAATGCCGGAAAGAGTACGCTACTAAATGCGTTAACGCGTGCCAAGCCAAAGGTGGCGCCCTATGCCTTTACAACGCTTCGACCACATCTGGGCACCGTGCAATACGACGATCATGTCCAGTTGACCATTGCCGATTTGCCTGGCCTGGTGCCGGATGCGCATCGTAACAAGGGATTAGGCATACAGTTCTTAAAGCATGCCGAACGCTGTACCTTGTTACTCTTTGTGCTGGATGCTAGCGCACCGGAACCTTGGATGCAGTACAAACAGCTCATGTATGAGCTGGAGCAGTTTGGTGGTCGACTGGCGAAACGTCCACAACTGGTTGTAGCCAACAAAATGGATATGGAATCCAGTGCGAGTAACTTTGAGCAATTGCATCAGCAGCTGCAACAGCCCGAACTGCTTGGCATCAGCGCCAAAATGGGACACAATCTGGCTCAACTTCTCAGCAACATACGCGTCGCCTACGATCGACACAAAGCGCAACAACAATAACTAAATTGTTTTCTAATTTTAAATATTTAATTGTAATTTACTTAAATAGATACAAAATTAAAAAATAAAAAAAAAACTTATCAAGCTAAACACCCTCTTCGGAGGTGGGCAGCCAGAAGGCCATGTTTGTGCAGGCTGAGGCTAGCATCATGTACTTGGGATTGAATTGGACACATTGCACAGGACCGGGATGATCGCCATTGAGCACAGAGACCTTGTTGCCGGTATCTGCATTCCAGATATGTACTCGGCCATCAGTGCTGCCGGAGAAGATGAATTGTGAGTCTGGGCTGAAGCTGGCCTCGATTGCAATGCCTTTATTATTCGGATAGCCGGTAAAAGTTTGCAGTGGTGTACCATGAAATGCGTCCACAAGTCGTATAACCGAACCATTTGTGCTGATCAAGATGGTTTTGCCATCGCGCGAAAATTTCAGGCCCGTCCAGTCGCACTCCTTCTCCTGGTTAAGCTTAAATGTGACAAAAGGGCCCTTGTCAAAAGAGCGCAGATCGTACAGTTTGATGCTCTCTGAATTGACACCGGCTGCAAAGATGAGACCCTCCGGATCGTAGGCAGCGATGGGCCGGCCGGATAGATGCATGAGTCCCTGACAATTAGGTGAACGCAAATCCCATAGACGCAATGTTTTATCCAACGAACCAGATAGAAAGGTATCCTCCACGGGTGAGATGCAAAGCGAAATTACTTTTTTTGTATGACCGGGAAAGTAGCGTAAATATTTGTTGTCATGCAAACTGAGATATCGTATGGTGTCGTCTACTTTAGTAGAACTATGTATGGCCGTATTATTAGCATGCGTAAAGTGTATTAAATCGACGCCATATTTCTTGGAATTCACAGTCCTGGATTGTGTGCCTTTCTCGCAATCGTATATAACAATTTGATCGTCCTCGCTGCAAGAGATCAGATGCTCGCCATTGGGCGCAAAGTCGATAGCATTGATTTTGTCGGTGTTTTCGCGAAAGATTTTAGCCACCTTAAAGCTGCGGACAACTGAATCCATTAATTTTATTTTCATTTTGACAAAACGTTTGCTTTCAACCACGATACTACTCGGTATATATTTTGTATTATTTTTTTATTGTAAGAACTAGTGATGTGCAGCTGCTCGCAACCAGGGCTGCTTATCTAATCGATAAGTCTTTGACTCTAATATCGATACTATTTGGCGTCTAATTCTTTTTAAATACCGATATTCATTAGTGAGCAAAATATTTTAAAAACATATTCATATAGATCTGAACTAATTTATCACAATCGTATTTTATAATGAAACTTTTATATACTTATTTATGTCTGATTTAAATGAAATCAATATGCAATATTGTTTTTAAATAAAGAAAAATATTTAATTAACAAAATCCAGCAACTTATTTATTTTATACACCGTATGCTATCTGAAATACATACATCAATTTATATGGTAAGCACATATCATTGTTCTACTTTTGCAGGTAATGTAGTTTCATAAGTATTGTTATTGCCCAACAGCTCCTTAGGATCCACATAGGTGATGCCATCCTTGCCACGTGCATAGGGTGTTAAGCCATTAGTTTGTAAGTAAAAATCGCCATGTATACTAAAATTAATAATAAATGAAATTATGATCTCAATATGCAACTTTGAACTTACTTTGTGGGACAATTATGACCCATGACAACAGATTGTTCAGATTCAACAATTTTATTTAGTTTGAAATCATCCCAGCTTTTGGCTGCAACCGCGTCGAATTTAATGGGAAAACGGTCGGAAACGCTTTCCGCCCAGAACCACCAACTGCGCCGATGACTAGACAAATCATTATCGCTGAGCATTTTATAGTTACGTTTCGGACAGCCTGGCTGCAATGTTTTGCCACCATTTGGCCAAAAGTCCACTGTGCCCGTGCTACTGGGTGCACCATATAGCCAGGCATCTGTGTGTATTACATCCACGAATTCAGCATCATTTGCGTTCAGATGTGTGGCCAAACCAGCGGTGAGGTAGAACAGAGGAAAAGCCGGATCCAAGCCAGTAATTCTATTCGAAATGAGCAGCAATATTAATTATTTTATTACTATGTATAAAAAATCGAAACGAACCTTTTTATTTTCAAGACACCTTTGGATCGTCTTTGGATCTCACGACCTATAATGCCAGCCATCTGACCCCCCAGCGAATGTCCAACGATATGTAATTTTTCTATTTCCAGGCCATGTTCGAACATTTCCAGCAAAACTTTCGCTAGCTCCGGTCCCAGTTGTTTGGCATTAACTACCGCGTCGAAGATATAATTGCCATCGGCCAGTTCGCCCCAATCCAGGACAATCAGATTTGTATCATTGCGTTCTAAATAAGCCTCGGCAATAACATGTATGCTTTCCACATCTGGATCCTCCAGATACCCATGCAAATACAGCACAGTATTCTTGCTCAAATCCAAATGCTCATCTTCTAACAAACTTTTGGAGTCATTCATATCATAGATATCGCTATCAGCTACGCTGGGTCTGACATAATACAAAATATGTTAGTTTCGTTGCCTAGACTAAAGGTTAACAGCTACGGCATACCCATAGTACAGTATAAATTTGGCTGTAGTTAAGTCTGCCTTCGAGCTTTTGAGGCCACATAGTAACCCTGAAAGAGTAGACCAAAAAAATAGAAGTAAAGCTGTTTAATTACGTAAAATAAATGATGATGGGTGGGAAAGGTAAAAACGGTCAAAGATAATAAAATTTCACAATGCTGGCATAACATTTAAGATTATGGGTTTATCTATTGCGATATACGAATTAATAGTTGGGCATATTTTCGCTTTCAACTAAACGTTGAAACGTCTCTTCGTATTCAAGGAAAAATATGTGTTTTTTCATACACCTTAAAACTTTTTGAATCAAATTGCTTTTCACATTACTTACTTGATTTATTTTTAATAGCTTTGTGCATATTTCTGCTGTAAGAAAATTAATATTAATAGAACATAAACATATTAATAACATAAATATTTACATTTTAAAAGTATGTTTTATTTACAAAAATGTTTTTTTTTATTATAATATTTATTTCCGGAATTTCTTTAGGCTTTTCGACTACTTCCAGTCAACGGCACTGATTAATAAATACTAAGCGAAAATCCATCACAAAAATCACATTGAATAAATCTAATTAAAATGGGATTTGTGATAAGATAGTAAATACGGTTAATATTATATATACAGTAGACGCACACTCAGACGGATGAGCTTGGCTCGTTTTATACTACATTTTCGTAGTATAAGAGTTTGTATAATATGAGGTCTATGGTTCAAGGGGATAACGCCTAAGGTAAGCGAGAAAGAGACAGAAATATGTGATTGGCCGGCTTTGTTGGATTTTGATATTGGCAAACAGACCATTCACTCTAGTTAGACTGTGGAAATACAAAACTATATGCATATACATATATATATTCGTTGATTTCAAAATCGCAGTCGATCAATCTAGCATTTTATATTTGTAACGGTATTAGCTGCGCCATAAATGTGTCCGGTGCCGTTACAAAATAAAAATTTTTGCACTTCAATTTACATTTATGACCAGCAGTTTGACATATACAGTAAACACTCACTAGCGCCTGGTTAATCGGCGGAAGGGACAGGTGGTAGGAGACGGCGCTTACGTTTCAATAAAACGCGCCACTTGAGCTCAAAGTGCGATAGCCGCCGTATATCCGTGTAGTTAATAAATAGATGGCGCTTGCAGAGGCCAAAAAAACTACTAATATTGGTTATAAATAGATCTGTCACATATAAATGTTCGCCTGCAGCGAATAACCGTAACATAAATTGAAGTGCTGTGGCCTTAATTGCACTTTCTGAATTAAATCATAACGGTGCCCATTGCACGCACACAAGCATGGTTACATTTACATAGTCACACAGAGGCACTTTGATGGGTTTGTATACAAATGCGCGACGAATTAGAAAATTATTTATTGGCTTTCTCTTTAGTTATATGAGCAAACATGCACACATGCTGTTTACTGTAGTGTTTGCTAAACCATCAGTCAATAATATTTGACATGTAATTTGTAATAAATATTAAGCTAGCACTTAAACAACCTACGCGCAATGAATTTAAAGTTCTTTTTGGTCCGCACAACTTCATTAACCTGCGTGCACGTCAAGGTACAACGCGTCGCAACGCAATGACAACCGCAACCGATCTGCGCCAGTAAACACACACTTACTCTTTCGCTGTTTCTCTCTACACACACATTCGTTAGCTTGCTCTCTGCAAAATATGCCCCCACTCACACACACACATGCACGCAAATAGCTAAACGAGTATCATACAAAAACAACTTTGCCATGGACTATCGAATTGTGCAAACATTACACAGATACAGCAAATAAATAAATAAATAATTATAGATAATTGTTAGAAATCGGCGATAAGTTTGTAATACCCAATTAGATTTTATAAAGCTAAAATAAAGCCTTTAAATAAATAATAGTCAGTATTACGGCAGATTTGTGACGAATAAACGGCAAAAGTACTCGAAACCGAATTCGATTTCGAAACGATATTTCTTTTCAAACTTATAAGCTAAAAATATCGAATATATATGACATTAATTGAAATCAAACATTTACTCCCATTTCTTTTACAATAAATTTTATTTTGCATTCAGATGCGATTAACCAATACATTTTATTTTCAAAGTCTACACAGGTTTTCTTTGTTTTTGTTTTTGTTTTAATAATGAATCTTTGCTTATGTGTTATATTATGTAGTTAATAAGTATGTAAATAATATATATATAATCATGTGTGGCGTTTCAGTGGCTCGTTATCTTCCTTTTGCACGCTTTTTGCATTTTGAAAATGTTAAATATGTAGGCTTCGAGGTTCTGTTTATGTTTTCTCTGCAGTTTGGCGGCTCCAGTTCTGCGTAATGGATTGTTCCGTGTGGATTTTTTTAACTACAAGTTTCCGTTTTTAAGTGTTGCTACACAA